ACCAACGGACAGTCCGCTCGCTTTTCTACATTCCCCGTAATACCCCTCTGTGCGACCCTTTTCCCTCTTCCTCTACTTCCAGCATCCCCACAAAATTCTCTCAAGAAATTTGAGAAATTCGTGGTCCGAGCAGGCAGCGTACCTTCTACTCCGAATCTACTACGTATGTACTGCTTAGGCAAGAATCGAAAGAAAGAATTTCTTACATTTTGAAATTCGAAATTCGAAATAGCAGAGATAATTCGAAACGACCGGGAATGCAGAGTAGATGGAAACAGCGCAAACACTCCGTGGAACGTTAACGCGATTACAACGTAATCTGTAAACTATGCTTGCGAATGACGCTTTCGATTCCAAAACGTAGGACGTAGGTAGTAGACGAACGAAAGAGAAAAGGATTTTCCGTTAATCGATACCGAGTAGCGAGATAAATCAGCGGGAAACAACTGGTCGATCCAGCGATATAATCGAGGACTGGTAAATGCCTCGGAGAATAGCTTTTCGTCCCGTTTCTGCCACTCGGTTGTTCCGCTTCCCTTTGGAATACACGCTATACACGCGATAATGGAAGATAGAGACGGTCGAGGAAATTAATTTGACGCGATTCAACGGGGAAGGAAACGAGGAAACGTGTGTAAATGTAGCGCAACAGACGCAACGATTGCACACTCGTGCATTCGTTGAGCCTACTTTATTTAATGATTCCACATTCGAACATACTTACCGAATAACTGCGTACTCGGAATTTCCGACGCTTCTAAATAAAAACGATAAATGCATCCGCGAATGCGCTTACGCATACCAACATGCGTCCATCTCTTCTTCTTTTTCCATTCCATTCCATTCGCCCGTCTATTCGCCTCCTCGAACGGTCTTGTAATCGGATCGACCCATTTCTCCCTGAAAATTACCCCTTTCTCTACAAAATATCACCTCCCGCAACGCGAGCTAATCTTTAAAATCGCGACGGTGGTTAGAACGCTTTCATTGCCCCGATTTCCGAGAGTTTTTTTTTTCTCTTTCTTTTGTTCTCATGCCAGCTTTTCGATCGATCGCTCATTACCATCATTCTTTTCTTTTCTCTTTTAAACGCATTGTTCACGCATGGACGCTGACAATCGAACGAATGGAATGCACGGAATGGACGAAACGGACGGACGATCGTTAAGGTCGAATCGAGTATACTCGATTCTCATTGTCAGAAAAATATCCGGAATTCCCAGTCCAATCCTTCCCCTCTCTTTTCTTCACCGTTCTTCCGGCCCGCCAATGATTTTCTTCTTGCTCGACACGCATTATTATCGCTACTGAACGAGCTTTGGCACGCTAACGAGCCCCGACCACGATAAACCCAGCCACGTTCGATAAATGTCGAACGCGGTTCTTCGTTGGATCGATATCCGTTAACGATGCCTCTCGCCGACCGGTTAAGAAGACTAGGAAAAAATAATTAATCCTTGCTCGACTTTCAGTCATCGTTTCCCGATTCTACTCCTAACATTCTACTCGAGCCGAGCGGGAATACATCTCGATGGAAAACCATTTCTAAAACTCTATCCCCCATTTTCCTCCTCCCTCGTTCCACTTCTGTTATTCGTCTTTCGAAAAAAACGGATAAACGAGCAGCAAACGCGTCTACCTAATCCTCTTCGGTTCTGGATTACCTCATTGAAATCTCTCGACATTCGGCACGAACGCAACGTTTTTTCGAAATCTCTCACGTTTTACCCAACGAAAAATATCTTCGTAATATTTGCTTCTGGTTCGATCTGATTCGACGAGTGAAAATAATTATTTTGCAATTTGAAAAATTACAAATTCCCTTTCCGTAGCAAGGTTCGGCAGGGTAGAAGATTGCGAGCAAACTCGAAATTATCAAGATCGACTGTTTGCCCGTAGAGCCGGCCCGAACCAGCCCCACAAACTGTCGTCGCCTGGCGCCGCTGCGCTGGAATCCGCTCCAAAAATATCCAATTGCAGTCCGCCGTAAACTACATGTGTACAAATAACTCGTGTGTACCAACGATCGACGAAAGACAAAGGGGAAGATCGGTTGGTGCGGCACGGCAGGAAGAAGGGAGGAAAGCGCATTGGATATTCGCTGGTGTTCGATTTGTTTGAAAACGCGAGAAAGGATCGTCGCTTCGCCACTAGTCACACGATACGCTCTTTCGTCCCGAAACTTTTCCTAATGTTTCCCGTCGCGTCCATTTTCACCGGTCTAGCTCTCCGCGTTTCTACGTTTTGCCAGCTGTGCCGGGGAACCACTTTTAGGGGTACGGCTCCGCGTAATCCGAGAAGCGAAACGGAAATCATTCGACGCTACGAACGCGACACCCCACGATGCGACTGAAACTTAAATTAAACCGCTTATCAAGGAGATCCGGTCAAAGTTTATCCTTCGTTTATTCGACCTGCTTCTGATTTTTCAGATAAATCGAAAAATCCTTGGCTTCGAAAGCGTCGATTTTGCAATTCGATCGATAAACCGACGATTCGTTCCAATTCCTGTGCTTCGTGCCTCTATCTGTACATATTCTATCTGCTCGTCGCTTTCTAGCCGCATCATCGTCCACCTTTGACGCGTTTCGAGATCTAATCAACGGGTCGAATTTAATCTCTTGGTTGTTCTATGACAACACTGAATTCGAACGGATCGATAAGACGCATCGGAACGCATACGATTACAGGGAAAGCGAAGAAAACGTGTCGCGAAAGCGGTAACGAGATACGATAAAGAAATACTGGAAACAGACTGTGGAAAAATAACTGGCAGAATTTTTTTCCGTAAATCTGAATCCGATGCCCAATGGCGATTTCAAAATTACGCGATTAATATTCGCGAGCGGAAACTGTTCGCCGTTCAATTAAAACGTCCCAACGAACTTACGATGGTAACGGTGTTATTACGGCACACTCGTGTACCGTGTGCATTCGATGGATCGATGAAAGTACACGCACGGTGAAATTGCATCCTGTATCAATATATCGTGTAACAACCTCGTTTAATCGGTTCGTTGTAAACAGCGCTACGAAAAGCTCGGGAATCTAATCTGAATTTTAACCCCTTCGTAGCTTTCTCGAATCGTCAGGTAGATTCCTTTGCACCGCGATGTTGTTCGATACAGATAAAACCGAAGAAAGTATGTAAAGCGAAAACGAGGAAAAGTATGGAAACGCGACGCGTCGCGACGAGACGGGGGCGAGGATCGCGATAGGGAGAAGAAAGGAAAAAGGGGGAAAACAACGGTGACGAAGAAGGGGGATGGGTCGAGATTCCGGCTTTATTGGCGCAAATGGCAATTATCTCGAGTGCGCGGGGAGTGTTGGGAGAAAAGAATTAAAATATTTCCAGCTGTCAAGTAATTTTTGCGATTTCGTCGTCTCTCCTCTCCCTTTGCAGCTCGTAACGAACACTTTACGCGTTACGCCAACGCAATCGCTTTGCTTCGTTACCGCAAGACAGCTAACTGGAAATCGGAAATCGGAAATCGTGGACGATTATTGCCTTAGGGATCATCGAGTTTTTCTTCGGAAAAACTTATGGTACCCATTGGAAACGCTTTGTTTTCTTTACGATATAATCTGTCGGTTTTTTCGCGTGTCTCAATTTTGCTGATGAAAAACGTAATCGGTAGACGAAGAGAAGAAGCGTCTACTAATCGGCCGCCGCGTATTATACGATTATCGCAACCCCGATCTGATCGATGTTTCGATCTAGATTCATCCCTGTAGCTACAGGCACGTACCGAGGGCGTATCCTGTCTCGTGATTTCGAGCGAAGAGGAAAAGGGAGTAAGCGCGAAACAATAGGAGCGTAAAGTATCTAAAACTTTCGCGTATCCTCCGGAAGATTACTACGGTAATTTTCATCGCGTTACGCGTTGGATACAGTTCGGTTCAGTTGGATAACGTAGATTTCAACGTAGGATGCTTTTTACTTTTGTCACTGGAGGGTCTCTGTTTCCCGCACCAACCACGACTACTCGAGTACGCTCGAGAAACCCGCGGCGACATTTTACCGACACCCCGAGGTGAGGCGAGGCGAGGCGAAGCGAGGCGTTCGTTCTTCAACGACGCAACCGTTATTTCACGCTTACCGACTTAAATGCTCCTTTTTTCCCGCTACTACCTACTTACTAAACCTCTTCTCTTCTCTTCTCTTCTCTCCTCGCGAAAACGCCACCGCTAACTAAATACTTTTTCCAACTCTGACCGTTCGAAATCGCGCACTACCATCGAATAGAAAAAAGAAAAAATACGCCACCCCCTAGATCGCATCGCGAGCGCTAAAATTAAACGAAACGCAACGCGCGCAGCTTCTCTAAACTCTTCGATAAACGTGCCCTAAACCAGCGCATTTCGTGGAAATTTCATTATCACCGTCTTATCTAACTTGCTCCATCAAGTTGAACGATAAGAACAACCAGTGAATACAGGTACATACCGGGCTCTCTAAATCGATTCGTTCCGATGTTCTTTTATCGATTTTATTCCTTCGATTTTGCTGCATGTTCCGTTCGATGATCCACGAATAAGCGAATCGAAAATAAAACGTGCAATCTCGTTCTTAAATCCTGATATAATCAGGTTAAAAGTAGCGTCAAATTCGTTCAGTGATCGACGTGGTTAAACGAAATCGATTATCGAGTTATTATCGAAACACAAACGATATTTCGGTGGTCTCGATTATACGGAAAGAGGACCATCGATCGTCAACAATTAAATATTCATTGTTTCTATTACTATCATTGTTGTTATATAAATTGTAATATAAATTGCGAAAAATATAAAATAATGACTACGTTTCTTATCCGAGCTACAGAGTTATTCGTTTGACACATACGAATTCGAATCGTTTTAATATGACGGTTAGAGGTGAAAAATTCTTATTCAAATTTCATTTTCGCGCTAAATTTTCGTGTAAACGTGCGAGTTTAAAAACAAATAGAAACACGTAAATGCGTTAAGAAAAGAAATAAGAAAGAAATGGCGCTCACCTTCAAAATCACGAAATCCATATCTCTTCGATCAGATGTTTAGGACAAAGCGTGTCTGATGTCGATGACGTTTCTCGATGGAAAACAACGGAGGATGCAAACTCCGAAAGCAGAAGCGAGAAGAAAACTTCGTTGCCGTTCCGTGAACGCCGAGCCGTGTAGAAGGAGGGAACCGAATTGAGCTGAGAATCGAACGGCGATCCAGCGAAAACGTCACACCGAGAAAACTTAACACTCGACACTTCTTTCCACTTGTTTGTTCGTTCACGGAAGGACAAGGAGTGCATTCACACGCGACACGATACAGCTGGATCGTCGTCGTTCCGATGATCTAGCATCGCTGCGCGCCTTTTCGTGGATCCACGAACTCGACTTTTCGCGTGTAGACGCGTGAACCGTCGCGACGGAAATCAGGAAGAGAAACGAACGCGAAGCTAGATTTTACGTGGCGATGGGGATACCGATCCAACCGATGCGAAACCTAACGACACAACACTCTACGAACGTTTCAGCCAACACGCATGCCGGCTCGGTGTCGACTGAATACCGAATCCGACAGCAGTCGCGCGCCACGAGTGGGAGGCGTGTCCGAAGTTGCTCGACCCTACGATGGAACGAGACGAAAGGATGAGCGACCGGCAGTTGGAGACCGTAGTCGCACTGCTTGCAACTATACGGCTGCTAAGAGGCGGGGAAAGGAGGGGGAACAAATGGATTCAAGAGAAACGAAACGCAATGGGATTGAACGGAACGGAATGGAACGGAATGGAATGGAATGGAATGAAACGAAACGGAACGAAACGAGATACCTTGCTCGACTCTGTTCGACTCGTAGAAACAGCCGAATGGCACGAAGAGCTGAGAGTTACACAAATGCTGATTATCCAAAAGTACCGTTGCGATAGCGCAGGTATGCACGAGCAGCGATAACTCGTCTCGTGTCGTACTTTCGAGCCCAGAACGAACGATCTTCGATTTCGGACAACCTATGCCGATCCTTCCCTTCTACGTATCAATTAATTACATACCTCCTTCTTACCAGCAGATGTAGGTCTTAAAGAAGAATTTGTCGGATAATATGCAATCAGTATTTTCTCCATTGTCTGAACAAAAATTAGAAGACGTAAAATAATTACTCTGGATTATTAACAAACCAGGGTAGTAAATCGTCCATTTTTGCAAAATAAGTAGACGCTGGGAGCTTACGAGGGGACGATCAAACAGAAAATTCATAATCACGATCTTAACAAGAAAAGTTGTATAAAAAGCGACTGAAAAGTTAGCAAGTTTTCGCCGTCTCGTTTGTAATCTCAACTCTCCAACCCTTCCTCATCGCACCGCTCTCGAAGCCCACTCGTAATTACCAAAGTTAATTTGCGAATCGCAATTTAATTGGCCAGTTCTTGAAGGTTCTTTAAACTCTCTCCTTCGTAAAGTATAATTTTACAGGGATTCGATTCATTCCTGTGGAAAACGCGTTATACGCGTGCGATTCAAATTTTTTTTCTTCGAAAAAATTATTCTACCGTATCGATACGATCTTTTCTTATAAATAGAAATGTCGATACGTTTTCCCTCTACATACCTATAGTACTGTATACCTCTTTTGTCTTCGTTCGTAAGAAGAGACAACAAGGGGGTCTCGCGAAAAGGACACCGTAGCTCGTTACCACGCGAGAACGAACGAATGTTCATGGATACGTATGCGACACAGGGTTAAAGACAGGACAAAAGAAAAGAGAGACGTCGACTTCCTGAGACTTTACCGCAAACAAACTCTCGTTGAGACAAAAGAAGGAAAGAAGATTCCATGTGACAGCGAACCTTTTAATTAGGCAGTCTGTGATCTGCTGAGCATTTTTCGTTTCACTTCTCATCCTTTTCTTTTACTTCACTTTTCATCGCTATGCTACCTACCCCTTGTCTCGATTTCTACCGTCCTCTTATGCTCGACTGATCGTTACACGACTCACGTTTCCCGTAGTTTAATAACTTTTCAACCAAAACAGATCAATTTTTTTTTTTTTTCTATCAAACTATGAAAAAGCGAAAGTTGATCGAGACATTCGAAAGAGAACGCGTATACTGTTGAAATGCGGCCGTGATGGTGTGAGGGAGGAGATAGCAGGGGAACAAATGGTTTTTCATTGAAGAGAATTCAAAATGTGCAAAAGAGCGAAAGCGAATGGTAGGAAGGGGGGAAACGCGAGCGTACGTTTATACGTATACAACTGCTTTTGGTGGACTGAATGAGTGGCGGGGTTGGAGAATAAATTAACGAGGTGTTTGTCCGCTATCATCGCCCCCTTCTTCCTCTAGCCGGATTAAAATCACCCAGTCTTTAATAATTACGCTTAGCGAATCCGTTAAATGAGGCGCAACGTCTTTCCCACCGTCGCTTTTTGATAATGTTATTTACAATGAATCATCGCCAAGCTGCATAATACACACAAATTACTCCGTGACATTGTGTCAGCTCAGCATGGACTTTTTTTTTCAATTAACTTTGTATACCGTTGAATGCGAACAAACGCACATTGTGAGATCAGCTTATGAAAAGTTTACAGGTGTCTACGTATAAATAAAGGCAGATAAATCAAACACCTCGATAAACTTTGTTTTTACGAAGAAAAACCACTGCGTTTTTGTATTTCAGCCGTGTTAGCGTGATCAACTGTTTTCTTCTCTCCTTTTCTTTCTTTCTTTTTGAAACCATCGAATTCTTTATTAATTCTTTTAACGTGTCATACATATTTTTCGATGCGATAGATTTTAAGCTATTCGGTTCTACACACTTTAACTTTAACAAATCAATTTTAAATACGTTAACTTGCTCTCAAAAGCAAAAAATATAACTTTTCACGACCCTTTGATATTGTTTACTTTTAAATGTATTACATACACTTAAACGACGACGACGATAGCGTGTGGGTAATTGAAAAAAATTAACTGTACCTTATAGATTCATTGCACTTTCAAATAACTCCAACATTCTTTTCATTTCTTTGCTAAAATATAAAAGAAAGATCTTTAAACTTTGGAGAAAAATTCGTCGATGGAAATTTCGTTTGCTTACATTTGATCAGCTAGCTTATACACAGGTCCCATTGATTTCGATAATTCCTCGCATTTGGCCATTAACTGATACATCGATTTGATATTGTGATCCACCGCGTCGCACGTTTTGCAAACAGCATCCCTATACGTTTCTAAGCACCCGACTGTCAATGCAGATGCCTAAAAATATTTTCACTGTAATTCTGGAAAAAAAAAAGAAAGAAAACAAAAGAACTAACAAGCTAAGAGCTAACAAGCAAGAAAAATAATTTTCAAAAATAATTTACACTATGTAAAATGGCAGCCAAATTTTCTGTCAATGCATCCACAGAAGTGGCCACTTTTCTTGCTTCCATTTCCAATTCATTCAATACATTATGGTCTAGAAGAGGCACCTGAGGCGTCAAAGCCTGCCTATATAAGCAAGGAGTGGAACTACGAGAACCTGGAAAGGATGGGGTCTCTCCTTTTTTTGTCACTGGACTGGAAAGTTTAATCTTATTCTCTAAATCTTCTGCAACAAATAGCACCATGTCCCCATCTTGCATTACTGTCCCTTCCAACTGTAAATATCCCATAGCTTTATGATAACTTGGAGGATCTACATCCTCGTCTTCGATCGGGCTACTTTCTCGATTTCTTAAATTTAACTGATCCGGTCTGCTACCAACTACGTTCATCTTTTCCAAACTATCTTCCAAGAATTTTGTTCCATCGATATCCGGGGAATCGATGAGCGATCTTAATTCCGAAACTGGTGGAGACGATTGCGAATCGAACGATATTTCTGAATACGATGCTGTCATCTCGTGCAGCTGAAATTGAACGAATAGTTAATGCCCCTAATACAAATATTTATTATTTAATATAGAGTAAATTTTATCAATCTAAAAAAAAAGATCTCTACGCAAGGTTCGTTAACTCTAACCTTACTCTATCTTCATCGTAGTCAATTGCTGCATTTTTATCGCTGCTGCGTAATATCGTTGCTTGTTTTATATGCATTTCGTTTTCTTCCGATTCCATTTTAACAAGCTCGATTCGATACTTTTCCGTATCTCGATCGGTCAACACTTGCTTTCTTCTCTTTCACAAACTTATTATTGATCGTTACAGAGAGTTTTCACTAATACAACATTTCTTCTACAAGATACTGGAAATCCCCGAAATGGTTGATTTTAATAAATCGATAGATTTTACCGTGTATAGTGTATGCTTTATAACTCTTTGTTGTAATGAAAACGCTCCGTTTCCTAAGAAATGTCATGCACTGTACATTTGTAAGTAATTACATACACTATTAGTTAACAGAGAAACATAGATATATGTATACCGCAGTTCACCAGGGTCCATAACTGCGACGCGCAGGTTGGAAGATGGTGGGGGAACGCAGCGAGCTCTCTGCTAATCGCTTTCCACTTCGTTTGGGAATATCGCCAATCAGGGCGAAGATGCGTACTGGAGATGCGCGAAGAACGAAAACTGGTCTTTTCGCAGTTATGGACTCTGGTGACCTGCGGTATATATTATATAAGTATATACATACAGGTTGATGAATGTGGTTAACCGGGAAAAGTCATGTTTTCTCAAATTATACGACATAATCACATAATTTACTGAATTGGAAATGATGTATGGACTGTAATAGAATAGAAATTTATGTCAAGCATAAAATGTTAAAAATTTATTATACGGATAAAAGCGTATAATCTTTATTTTCATTATGACATATTCTAAAATAGTATTATTTTCAATTTTCATCGCTTCCGTAAAATCAACTCCTTCGCATAATGATTTTTTTGATGAAGAGTTAATGTTAAAGCCATTACCAAGTAATCATGTGTATGCATATTTTCAATTTACTACTGTATGGGAGACAACAAAACATACAAATACATGTAAGCTACAAATTGCAGAAATGTTTTTGTTTTATTAATAAATCATATTTTTATTCATAATTTTTATGTAAGTATGAGTCCATATTTCAGTACAACATTCCCATTTGTTTCCAAGAGGGCTTGGTGAAATTATAAGTCGTCATGGGGTAGATGAATTACACCTTACGTTAACCAAAGGATTATGGAACTATCAGAAATGGGGATATCCCTATCACGATGCTGGTCCAGGTGCAGAGATTCTTGCATGGTTCAACAAAAATGTTGTTAAGTAAGATTCATCTTTAAACTTTAAGCAGATTAAGGCATCTCACAAAGGTTCTTAAATTCTTTTATACCATTACAGTATCGACGACGAATGGAAAGGGCTTACCAATGCTTTAGCTGGCTTATTTTGTGCCTCTTTGAATTTTGTTAATCCCTCTAACAGTATGTCTCCCGAATTTACATTCCGACCTACAGGCATAGCAGAACACGATGTTAATTCTAGTCGCTTACGTTATTCGTCGTTACCAAGAGAAATAGTCTGTACCGAAAATTTAACACCATTCAAAAAACTACTACCATGTGACTCTAAGGTACGTATACAAGGTTTCAAGAGTATCGTTTCGTCTCTGCATACAAAATATTAAAGTATATATTTTCAACAGAAAGGCTTAGTAACATTATTAAACTCTGCATACATTCATAATACAAATTATCATTCTATTGGAGTACATTTTCGAATGATATGTTCAAACACACCGTGTACAAAAACATCGTTAGAATTACGGCAATCTGTTTCACTGATATACGATACTGTAACAGATATTTCACAGGTAATTTTTAAATATGAATTTCGAAACTTTTCAAACACTTTCAGCGTTCGTATACTTCTTTTATAGGATTGGTCTATTCGAAAATTTTTCGGAATGGGCATCAAAGGTGCGTGCCCACTTGCCACGCTAAGCAACGTATACGTCGATATATCCAATAACAATACAAATCAAGTTTACGAATTAGCACCTTATCCCAGTGCTAAGATTGTTAGTTTTCGAGGAGGACAATTAAACGAAATAGCAGTTTATGATATTAGATCTCATTCTGTTAAAGGAATGTTTAATATCGGAATTATACATAATACCGCACACAAGGCTAGCTTAAATTATCCTTCAATTTTGTTTGCCAATAGATACGTTATTGGTATGTATACAGTGTTATAACTTCTGTTATAAATTGTGGTAATGAAACGGAAGAGAAAACGGTATTAACAAAGGTTTTCTTGCGCAGGGTATGGCCAAGAAAGAGGTAGTTTAGTAACAAAAATTTACAATAATTATTGGCAAACAATCGACGTTATTTTATTAGAAAATATTCCATGGTATTTACCAGTGTATCTACATTCTGTTACAATAACTTGTGGAGCAAAACAGATTATACCGTGTAAGTAATTGCCGTTCATAGCTCTGATCAATATGCTGTTTTTCATTGTTATCTTACATTTTAGTGGTACAGCGATATCTACCAGGCAAGGAAAGACGAAGCCCTTACTATTTGGAATTAATTTTACGCTTACCACCTCAGTCTGTGACCAAATTTTCCATAGAAATGGATTATTCGTTTCTTAAATGGCAAGAGTATCCACCAGATGCTAATCACGGATTTTACATGGGACCTGCTATAATCACGGCACTGCTTCCAATTGCAAGGAATTATACTGCACTACCACTCGATGGAAGTACTATAACATCAAGGTTTGAACTTGATGAATTAATTAAATAATAATAATAATAATAATAACAGTAATAATAATATACAATTAATTCAAATTTCAGTTTTAATGCTTCAAGAGAAGGATATGTAGTACAGCTGAGAACGGAATCTTTGCTAATTAGTCTTCCCACACCTGATTTCAGTATGCCGTATAATGTAATTTGTTTAGCATGTACCGCGGTTGCTCTAGCATTCGGCCCGCTTCATAACATTTCAACAAAGAGATTAGTTTTGAAACGAATCGAAATGGATTGGAAAGAAAAATTATTTTCATTTTTAATCGAAAAAATTGTCAAACCCAAGAAAAAACAAGAATAATGCATGCAGTTTATTGTAACTATTTTTTGTTTTTAAATATGAAGAAAATGTCGGTAGAAAAACAGAAATATATTATAATTTACGAATAATATAATTAGAGAAAGAAAAAGAAAGAAGCCAGTAAATTATAAAGAAAAGGAGTCATTTTGATTTCATTTCTTTTCTTTTTTGCTTTAACGTATAATGTGTAAAAAGTGCACGCGACTCTTTATTATACGATAAATGTGCTAATAAACAATATCGAGATTTGATTTCATTTCTATTATAAATATTGCTAAGGAATTTTTTAAACAAACTATAATTCACTGTAAATAATTAAATCATGTAAGTTTTTAATATTCAATAATCGTACGAAATAAAAATAATAAATATTGTAAGAAATGTAACGTACATGTAATTAATGTTATGTACCGGAATACTATCGTTTCATGGTGCTAACATAAGAATCGAAGAGGGATTCGTAGTCGTATTCAGGATTGCACTACAATACCTGTATACACACATACTGTTCATTACTGTCATGTAAAATGTTATTCGATAGCCCCTCTATTTCATCGAACGAATACAAGATTTTAGGTGAAATTAGGTGTATCTTTGTATTTTTATCAAAAGATACACGAACAGGATACCTGAATTCTCATCGTCATTCGAGGAGCAAAAGTGAATTACCGCAAAACTGGTTTCTGTTGATATTTTTCGCGGAAAACCATTTTCTAATCGTAACATTTTTATCATAAGGATTTGTCGTTTTCAAATGAATTATGTATCCAACACTCGTCTCCGACGCTGTTAACTACCTCTCTCTTCGTTTTCCTCTACTACATTCGAATCATTTTCATCAATTGAAGAAATTGATACGTATTTAAGAGATACTTATTTGGTCTTACTCATTCTTGATTTTGTTTCTTTGTGTATCGACTGAAACGTCTCGCACGGAACATCGATATTTTGATGGATCTTGTTCGAAATCATTTATTTGTTTTTGAGTCAAGCGTGTCAGAACAACATAAACAGGTCGACAAACAACGTACAATAATTGCGATTTTATACTCAACACTACAAAAAAAAAAAGAGAAACACTTTTTGTATAAAATACATTTTATACCTTAAGTACTATACACGCAATTTCTGCCTTGAATACGTTTTTAAGGAAAAAAAGAAAAAAGAAAAGAACGAAGAACGTTGAAAAATCGAGTACTCACTTGGTTTCGTTTTAACAGAATTTACAAATTTGTATTCATGTACATAATCATGTTCTGATCTTTCACGATTCGGTTTATGCGTAACAATCCATCTGTCATGATCATTTTCCGCTTCCAACCACTTTGGTCTAGACGAATCATTTAAAACAGGAGCAACAAGGTGTCTCTCTATTCTCTCAAGTCTTTCTTTTTGTGTTTCTTCTGTCATTGCTTTTGATCTCTTCGCTAATAACATACCGGCAGGAGAGGAAAAAGGGATAGTTGGACACCTTGTAAAATTGATTGATCCACGAACACGACGGGAAGTTCGTCTAACGATACTATCGTCAACAGTCATTTCTACTGCAGCATCGTTGTTTTTGTTTTTTTCTGTCTCTGATTTTTTTCCAATCGCACATAACTGAAAGTATTCTAAGAACTGATCTTGTTTTAATTCAGGCTTGACAGTCGATACATCTGGCGTTACGGGCCGTGGTGAATTATGTCTTCTATGTTCTCGTTCGCAACACACACGTTCGTGTTCCTATATAAAATTACTTATAATCATCTTCGTTCGTTTCACATTTCTTTTAAAATTGATTACCTTCATTTTTTCAAGACCTATAAATTCAGCATCGCAATTATCACATAAATAAATATCCTCTTGTTGTTTCGATTTATTGGAATAGCAAGAAGCAACTCCACTACAAGACAGCAACTTTTTTCGTGGACTTTCATATTTTTTATCATAATTCTATAGAAAAAATAATTACTTCAAATTTTATTGTATAAACTGTATCAAGCTTTGTAGAATAAAGTATTTAAGTTTAAAGACTAACCATATTTTCATTACGAAACGTTACTAATAATTTCCCAGTATTTTTGTGATAAAGACTCGTCGTAGAATCCCAGTTGCTAACATATTCTAAGTCTTCGCGTGGATATCGTGCAAGATACGAACAAAACCTTAAAATATACTCGCTTCTGTGGTATGTGTAACACCTGAACACTAATTTCTTCAAATTAGCCATCCAAGTCTAAAATAAAGTAAATATTTTACAATTTCAATGTTTCGATATAAACGGCCAGTTATTTATACAGTTACATTATTAGCATTAACTCACTTCATTGACTCTGTTAGGTCTTGTTAAAGGATTTGAAAATTTCACTTCCTTTGGCCACCATTGTGGTTCAGTGATCGCTTCTGTTGCATCATGACCTAATGAACACTGAACCATGAACGTTACAAACCGTTCCAATTGTACCTAAAATTAAACAAACTTCACGATATCTGTGTATTGCTTATAATTTACATTATCCATGTAATTTTGATTAGATTAAGATTGTCCTAAACTTTGGTGTTAATTTTAAGTTAATGAATCTAATGCAAATATAACTATAAAAATTCTATACCAATGTGAATCTTTCCAGTGATGTTGGATATCCGTTTGCAAACAAAAGAGGAAGATTAGACACTACAGAGCCTTCTTCTAAAGGACTATCATTTTTGGATTCTACATTATCTGCATCAATTATTATGATTTCATCCATTTCACTTGATATTCCACTTTGGGGTGAATGTACTCCGTATTCTTGTTCTTGTAAAGTAGAGTATCTCATATTTTCAAAACTCTCTATGCGCATTATATTCAGGATATACGGTTCCTTGTAAAAGTGTCTGCTACTTCTATAATTAATCTGTGTATAAAAACATTTTGTTAAATCATAATACTTATTCAATTTCTTTGATATTGAACAACCTATGTTTAAACTAATTAAAAAACACGAGACTAAAGAAAAAAGGAAAATCTTGTTTTAATTTTTTTTCCCAGCTGTTTGAGCTGGAGGAAAATAGAGACAGAAAATAACTTGAGCAGGAATCAGATTTCAATAAATTTGAAGGAAGCTTCAGACAAACATAAAATATATGTATAATCAGAATACAAACAGAAATAAAAAAAAGATATCACTAATCGCATAAAAAGAAAATTGTGTCTGTAATTAACGATTGTGTATACCTCCGAAATACTTTTCAAAACAATGAAACGACCTTTCTTGTCCCCTGTTTCAGTCTGGTAATCCACTTGATTAAAAGCGCTCTTGTCCAGCACTTAACAATTCTCAATATGAAATATAAAATGTAATTTTTACAATAGTTGGTTCATTAAGTTATTTTAGAACACAAATGCTACACAACCGATAACTTGTATTACTATTGTAATGTTGGTTAACAAACGAAAGAAATTCTAGAAGAATGCAGATTTAAACATGTAAACTACGTACGTATTCCGCAAAAATTCATTCACTAAGTGAGCGGATATATACGCTGTAAACAGTAATAAGAAAAACATCTTAATTGAAAATCTAAACCATGTTTTGTTGGACTGAAGTTCGAAAGTAGAAAGGAACGCGTAATACAAATTCATTCGTGTATGTGTACATACATGTACTGACAGTTCCCTCCTTGATTAGAGTATCTAGCAACAGTTAAGCACAGTTTAGTTCAAAATGGCGGGACGAATCAACTCGATTTTTCGGTAACTTACGAAGTTGCCAGCAAAGCATCAGGATACTATTTTGTATGATACATTTTTCGTTACATTTATTACAATCACTTATTTATTACGTCGCTTTTTTCTACATTTATTTCATTGTTTCGGTGTTTAATTTTCTATTTCTAATTTTTATACGAAATTAGAAATAACTAAGAAAATACAAAATTTATTAAAATTCCCCGTTCTCTTTGACCGTTCTTTCCTATTACTAGTTTGAACCACGGTCGTACAGGACTAGAAACTCCTGTGATGTGAGTGATCCATTAATGAAGCACAAAAGCAGTGACTACAGATCTGTAGTCACTAACAAAAGTTTCGTAAATCATTTGTTAACCACTCAGCGCTTCTATCGTAACAGCACAGTATCCGAACACAGTAGGCATAGGTATTACAGAGAAAGCAAAAATTCTCAAAACCTTAATTTTGAACGATATTAATATTTGTACTCGGAATACACCTACTATAAACAAGGGAATCACTCCCACCATATGAGTTTCCAGCCTGTGTAACGACCGTGGTTTGAATCAATTCCAAGTATTCATCGTTGCGTTTGCGCCTTGCTTGTAAACTAATCTTTTATCATTTATCATTTATGTTTTATATATTATTCATTATAATTAATTTTTTTTACAATATTGCATAAGTAATACTATGGTTATGAATAAAGCATAATGATACTTTGAATTTGCTGTATTTTCCGTTAGAGCGCTCACATCGTTACTTCTCAATCCAATGATCGAAATTCCAAATCCAAGGAGTTGTTCCGTAGAGTATACAGTTTTGATGGTGTTGTGTCAAATTGAGTCTGTTAGACGTAGACATGTGCTTTCATATATTGTAAAAGTTTGAGCAGGCACGCTCAAAGTTAACGATCGAACGCATTGTTTTTGTCTACGTTGTTGGTATAAAATTTGAACAGAGTAATAGTTGAAAGTAGCAAACATGGGTTTGTACAATTTCAAAAAAATTGCGGTCGTTCCCACCGCAAAGGTTAGTTTCTAACCTTTTTCAGTTTTCTATTTTCATTACTATAAATAATAAACTTGTTTAAATTGAAACATCTGTTTGTTAATTTAGGACTTTATCGATATAATATTATCGAAAACGCAAAGGAAAACTCCGACCGTTGTCCATAAAAGCTATAAGATCACACGTATACGTGCATTTTACGTGCGCAAAGTAAAATTCACGCAACAAAATTTTCACGACAGACTATCTCAAATAATACAAGATTTTCCCAAACTGGACGACGTTCATCCATTTTATGCAGATTTAATGAACGTGTTGTATGATAAAGATCATTATAAATTAGCTCTAGGTCAAATAAATATAGCACGACACTTGATCGATAAGTAAGTATAGCGACGCTTGATCGTTTACAAGTCTTTCATGAAAATGTTGATACATGTTATTCCGACAGTGTCGCAAAGGATTACGTTCGATTGATGAAGTACGGAGATTCGTTGTATCGATGCAAGCAATTGAAGAAAGCAGCTCTAGGCCGAATGGCCACTATTATGAAAAGGCAAGCTGCTAATTTAGCATACCTGGAACAAGTTCGTCAACATTTAGCTCGGTTACCTAGCATAGATCCCTATACGCGTACCATAATAATATGTGGTTTTCCAAATGTTGGTAAAAGTAGTTTTATAAACAAGGTAATTGTTCGGAATAGATGGCTCTGATTTTCTAACGAACCTTCGATAATAATCCAGTCATTTTCTTAATAGATCACTCGTGCTGACGTTGAAGTTCAACCGTATGCATTTACGACGAAATCGTTATACGTCGGTCATACCGATTACAAATACTTGAGGTGGCAAGTAATCGATACTCCCGGAATTTTAGATCACCCACTCGAGGAACGGAATGTGATCGAAATGCAAGCGATAACCGCGCTCGCTCATTTACGAGCAGCTGTACTTTACTTTTGCGACATATCGGAACAATGCGGTCATAGTTTGGAAGAACAAGTAAATCTAATTTTATCGTAATTTGTTGGTGTACAACTTGAAACTTGTAACTTTGAATCGCACAATTGTTTTAGGTGAAATTATTTGAATCTATTAAACCTCTATTCGCTAATAAACCTTTAACAGTGGTGATGAACAAAGCAGACGTTCTACGGCTGGATGAACTTCCAGTCGAGAAACGAACGATTTTGAACGCGTTAGAGGATAAAGATGTGCCTGTGTTAGAGATGAGTACAATAACAGAGGTCGGAGTAATGGACGTTAAAATACAAACTTGCGAGCGGCTTTTAGCTTTCCGCGTCGATCAGAAGATAAGAACGAAAAAAGTAACGTAATTGAAATGCATATAGAATATAGGCGTTGTTCGTTATTGAAGAATGATACGACATTAACAATTGTAGGTAGAAGGATTGCTGAATCGTTTACACGTGGCGCAACCAACACCGAGGGACGAGAAAATTCGCGGTCCTTGCATTCCAGAGAGCGTTTTAAAAAAGAGGCAAGCAATGGAAGAACGATCAAAGGTGAAACGAAAATTGGAGCGGGAAATAGAAGAGGAGATGGGTGATGATTACGTGCTCGATTTGAAGAAGAATTATGATATCGAGGGTGAACAGAAATTCGATATCATTCCAGAAATATGGGAGGGACACAACATCTATGACTATATCGATCCAGAAATATTCGAGGTTTTTATTTTATTTTATCTACGTGCCATTCCGTGTAAGTGAAACACGATCGTTGATCGTGTATTTGGTTTATTTTCGTAGAAATTAAATCAACTCGAGAGAGAAGAAGAGCAACGAGAAGAAGCGGGCATGTACGATTACAAGGTACCTCAGCTGTCAGACACTATGTGTGAAATTGTGCAGATGGCTAAACAAATTCGAGAAAAGAAAGCCATTATGAAGGACGAGGCCCGGATTCAAAAAGCTTCCACGAAGCCTGTAATGCCCCGCACAGCAACGGCTAAGGGTCGAGACAGATCTGTATCGAAATTGAAGGAACAAATGGAAGACTTGGGAATCGATATGCAAGAGAGCGAAAACGTGAGTATCAGAAGAGAAAAGAAGGTAAACGATAATAATTTCTAATGTTTTCCTGTTTGACACGATAGGCACACTTTACCAAAACCAGAGGACGTTCGAGGTCGTTGTCTCAGCCAGCCAGGAAACGCATGAGATTGGAATCCGTGTCTGTATCGCGAGCTCGAAGCAGTTCGAGACCGGCACGCGACGAAATGGGAGTGAAAGACGGTGCGATGAAAACGAAATTAAAGAATATCGCGCACAAGGCTTTGAAAAAGAAGATCGCTAGGAAGGGTTTGAAAGGAGAAGCTGATCGATTCATCGGTACGAAAATGCCGAAACATTTGTTTTCAGGAAAAAGAGGGGTCGGCAAAACGGATCGAAGATAATGTAATTATTTATGCGAGAAACTTTGTTATTTCTTGCGAGTTTTCTATCGAATTTCTCCAAATATTCGTGTCTGTGGTTGGTTACTCGAATAAAGAAGGGGAAATGAAATTTTCGTTGTTCAGAAATTATTGATGCAGGGTCGATCGATCGGGTCGCCTCGCGTCGCGTCTCTAGTTAAATTTATTGAAGATAACGGAACGTTCTCTCGATATGAATGAATCTTGTGAGATTGCACAATTCGGTCGTCGGTACGACCTTCGACCTCGTACACAGGGGTAAGCAACATCTCGTTCAGCGAAAGTTTATTGCTGTCGTACGGAGATAACCCTTTACCGTGGTATTCAAAAGTTTCTGTTGTTCAAAGACTCGAATTCCTTGTCGCGTAACCGATATTGAACTCGTTCCGTTGTGCAATGCCTCGTACATATACGATATTTGTATGAACATCAGAAGCAAAAGTACATAGCTTTAGAAAATTACAATAACCATTCTTATAAATAACGAATAAATTTGTATTTTACACAATATCGATGTTCGATTAGAGAGGATACATGTAATTAAAATAGAAAAACCGATCGTGTGTAATTTCTAATGGAAATAGGAATCTATTCGATTAAAATCATGGTACGCGGCTACAACTCTACTAGGAACTAACAGAAGCTCGAACAATAAAACGGACGAAGAATTTACGAAATAAATTGATCGATAATCTGTTGGTATTCTTTACGTTCGATACTTTCCGCATGAAATACTCTATACATAATTAAACGGTAGGCTATCGAGTGGTACGAATCGGAACGGGCCGTTCATTGAAATTTTCCGATATCGATTCTTGTTAAACAAAGTAAGTAGGTACGCTGCGCTTCTCAATTTGTCTCGATAGTTCGTTCGTTCGAATCGCATTTGATACCGCAATTCGCTTAAATTAAGGATAAAAAAATAAGTTGCATATACATATAAGATAATGGAAGAATGAACGCCGAAGGTAGGAAGAGAAGGAAAAGTGAGAAGAAACAAGTACATATTCAACAAATACGAAATACAATTACTACCGTTAATAAAATTATTACGTTAGATATCTTAGCAGCTATATCACAGTCAATACGAAAGCCACGATTTAAGAACACGACTTTCGGTATGGTAATGCTTCGAATCGAGTTAATAGACGGTTTCGTCGATCGAAACGCGTTAGAAAAAGCTGGAAAAGAAAGCCAGTTTTACACATGTACGGAGAATAACGCATGGATAATGTAAGCCTAGCACAAATGTATACGACGAAAAAGTGCTATCGCTAAACGGTTACTCGAACGATTCTTTGGTGAGTCGTTTACAGTCTACGACGATAAATTAATATCTTTTTTTTTAACTTTGTAACCACTCGATCCACTTATTGTTTCTTTCAGTACGTATTACGCGAATCGTACACAGGTTTATTAGGAGCAAGCGCATTCGAGTACTTGAATGTTTTGCCAATAAGACACCTTTAATTGAGTCGAATCGTCCTCGTCGTAGTAAAGGATCATCAATTGGTCGAGTTTACTTGGAGCGCAGCAAGGTTTAGGCACTTTCTTTCTATCCTCTTTCCACAGCAAACTCTGTAAAAGAGCGTGATGATGAGCCGGATTGTATCTGGGCGGGCATCGACCTTTACAGTATCCAGCGTCGAAGGTTTTCGGGTAAACGATAAAGTCGAAGCCTCTCAGGTCCTTGAACATCACGGTAAGTTCGTGTCTGCAACACTTTTTACTCTCACCTTTGCACTTTGACCTACGCCCTTTGTGCAGTGACATTAATTCTTCAGGTGTCGAACGTTTCGTTCTAGGATGTAAGTTACCGGTGGTGAAGACGTTCAAAACCGGCGAGGAAAATGTAAGCCTGACTGGCTGGCCGTCGCGAAAGAACTCGAGTTCGAGGCCAAAATTTTGAAGATCACCGCCGAGCCAGGATGAGACGGCGAGGGTCGAATCGAATTCAAGCCAAATCGAGTTTCGCCAATCCTCTAGCTCGATTCTTTTACGAACCAACAGCTTCCTCGAACGTTCAGCTCGGAGATAAAGCAACGCATCCACGTCGAATCGATGTAAAACGTTGCTGTAATCGTGATCGATCGGTCCGTGAAGCAGTAGCCGCAACGTCGCGTGATCCACAGATGCGACGTGATTTTCTTCAGGAATTTCCACGGGGAAGAACAAGCGGTGACGATGACGGTGACGGTAACGGTAACGTTGACGATAACGTTCGTCTCTCTCGATTCTCGAGTCGTTTCCAGGATATGCTGCAACAATCAACAAGCAAGGTAATATCGTTACATAAACGGAAAAACTCTTTGATTTTCCTCCTTATTTCTATCCTTTTTTCTTAATCCATCCAATCACTGTTTAACGAATCGAAAACTATTTTTATTAGCGTTATTACGGAGGACGGTTCGACGTCGATGTCGACGTCGAGGACGTTTCGTTGAAACTGCAAACGGAAACGTTCGTTTTCCATCGCGTTTGCTTGAACGGATGCAACGACGCCCCGACAACTCGTATCCGGTTGAGAGAGAGAGCACGCGAGAGAACTACCATTCCCGTCCGTTCCAATTTCACTGGCCAATTAGAGGAATTATGAAATTCCGGGATAATTCGTTAATGTAACCGATGCCCGGCTAGGAGAAATAAAAAGCAAGTTTCGTAAGCGAGATGCTGGGAACGTGAGCGGTACGGTAAGTAAGATTGTAAGAATATACCGGTAGCAAGGAAGATCGTTGGAAGTTAGGAAGGAAAATACACTTTCTCCCTTCTTATTTTAACCTCTTTCTTTTTTTGTCCGCTTGGGAGATCGGTGGCCGGTTTGATAAATATACGCGTGACGGTAGGAAACTGAAACGAAAATCGTGTATGTTTCGTAAGACGGATTAACGTCTGGTCGCGTCTAGCCGCCACGATTCATTTGCTACCAGTCGTAAAATATCGCGTAACACGAAGCTCTTACGCGACGTACCAAGTAAATCTGTCGGGAATGTAAAAATACGAGGGAACTCGCTGTGAAAGTTATCTCGATTGCCCGTTCGTCACCAGATACGTCTGAGACGGTACGTTTAGAACGTTATCTCGTCCGACTGTCCCTCGAAACGTTCACGCGAGTAAATAGAAAAATAAGTTTTCCAAAACTTTGCTCGTATGAAAATAAATATCGCGAAAGCCAGAAATTGTTACGACTAGAACGGAATCTAAGAAGCGATCGCGAAATAACTCATGAATTCGAGATATTTCGAGGAATTTGGCGGAGAAATGTACACGAGTGTAACGCTCGTCATCGAATTGGAATCGAACGGTTCATTGGTGCCAATTATAGGTTACCTTGCACCGTATTTTCGTCGAGAATATACTTGTTCGTTTATCGAAAGCTTTTAACGTTTACCACGATAGTGTATCAAGATATTTTTGGCCGATATTCGGGAGATTCAGAGGCTGTACAGTTTCCCGCCACTTTCGAGGTGCGCGGCGCGCGAACATGCGCGCTGCTCACCAGGAAATATGAAATTGCGCGCATGCGCTAACTAGTTCGCGATGCCCCTTGCGCGATTCTTTCTTATTTGCATTCACCAACTCGTTACTCGACATTCCGTCGAGGTCGGAATTTCTATTTCATAATCGCGCCTCTACACCTTTGTAACGATGCCAAAAATGCGATGAGGAATCACGTTCGCTTTCCCATTTTTATTTTCACCTTCTTTTCATAATTCTAGAAATTGAAAATTTTATTCTGTGCAAAATTACACGTCAGCGCGGGTGGCTGACTTTCACGCGCGTTACGGGTTAATGATTTGCCGAAAGAAGTCGACGAAACTTTCCAAATATTTTTCTCTTCCTCTGCGTTTCCGTTTTTTTCTACATGCAACCGAGATAACATTGAGTCGCAAAGAAGTGGAAGCGGTTGAATGTTAGCAGAGGAATGACGCGGCGCGTTGCGTTGTTCAACTGGCGGCGGAAGCTCCAGGACTAGATGTTTACGTAGGTAGTAATTATAGCATGCGGGTGTATATTTTTTCACAGAAACGGCACGTAATTTCGCGTTTCCGATGATCGTTGCTTTTCTGCCAGCGTATAGGATGATAATCGTATCGAGGATGAAAAAAAAAAAATGATTGTTGGTTCGTTTACCTGTAGCATGAAACACGTGTAGTTTCTTGCTGCCGTTGAAATTCTGTTCGTCGAAGGACGACTGGACTTTTTTCAGGTACTCTTTGTGCGCCCTTTCGTACTCGGCTTGGCTCACGTTTGCCTAAAAAAGAGAAAGAAAAAAACGAAATGAAGCAATAGATCACTATTTCTATTCTTTCCCATTTTTGTCCCGATAAAATTGTTCGAGCGTACTCAGGATTTTCGTAGATATCGGATTCGACGCCTCTCGCTACTTTTCCTCTCGTAAGTATCGCGATGAGAAAGTCCAGACGCAGTAACGCGGTTTCAGTAAAATTAACCGCGGGGTACGCGTGGTTATCGTTCCTGTTACGCGAAACGGTTAGATTCTCGTCGAATTAGATACTATTTCCGACGGTTAAACATCGTTTTTACTCTGTACGCTTTCTCGAACGTCTATCGGAGTGGAGATCGCGTTTGCGACCTCTTCCGCGTCGCTTTCGTGTATACCAGCGCATCGGTGAGTCAGCGATCAAGCAAATTCGAAGCGAGGAAAAGATGCAAGCGTACGCCTCCGCGTCTGGTCGAGAACGCACTCGCTTAACCATTGTCCTGTTTAAAATCGGTTAACCGATCCGACCGTGTTCCGGTTCGTCGAGACACTCGCCTCCGAGTTGCGTCGCGTCGTATCTCGTCTGGTCTCGTTTCTTTAACTCGAAACGTTTTTGTTTATCCATCGAAATCAAATTGATGGTATCTCGTAAATCATAAATCGTAAATTGATTAAGAGAGCTCGTCTGTCGACCCCGGGCGAGTTAACTCCTCAATAACCGCTTGACTAGTACGAAAGGTCGGTCAGCGTCGTTCGTTGGTCGTCGGTGTCGAGTGTCGAGTTCGAGTTCGAGTTCGTCTCGGCGACCCCCATGAAAGTCCACGATGGTCTATGTATTTTCACTCATTGCCAGGGGAAAGTTGTAGAGAAAAGAGAGAGATGGATGGAAGAAAAGCGCGGTTGGGTGGCGTTTGGTAGAAAAGAAAAAAGAAGGTAACCGTGCGATTTATCGAGCATCGACACCGACGCTGTTTTCGTCGTCGGATGCCGTTTCCGGCTCAACGACACCGCTCGTTCCAAACTCTTGACGCTAAAATAAATTCATTAAGCTTTCGTTCGATTTCGATGGGGAAATCAGGTTCGTCGACATTAACACGCGCGCACCTGCGATTAAACTTCATCGAGGAAATTTGAACAAAGTTTACGGGTATCGATGGTATTCGACGGATAACGTTCTCGCGAATGCTGACGACCTTGAAGAACCATGTAACCATGTAACCATATAACCATGTACGACGCTCTCTTGCCTCCCACGCTGTACCCCGTCGATAGATGGAGAAAGAGAGCGAGAAAGAGAAAGAGAGAAATGTTTCGTAAGCAGTCTGAGTGCCGACGAGTTGAGCCGCATTCTTCGCGTAACCCTCGGCTTTGCCCGAAGAGCTCGGTGAAACGCGGGAATGCGCGATATTCGAGGTTCGCGTGCACCTCCTCCTTCGAATATCGTGACTCGACGATTCATTTTTATTTCTATTTCTCTATTTCTCGTTTGTTTACCTTTACGACTGCACAACCGTTTGACTTGGTTTCACGGAGATACTCGTCCTCGTCCTCGTTTATTCGCTTCCAGACCTACCATATCGATCACCGATCGACTTCTTTTCGTTTCATCCACTCGATCAAGGTTCGCCTGGTGAACGAAGTGAAACGAGAACGAGCAGAGATCGTACGGTGGATAGGTGCGAAAGAGGCGCGAGTTCTGGGCTTCCGCGCCCGTTCTCACGTTCCTCGCGACTGTCCTCGAGTTTCGAGGACGGCTGGGAATCGAGGCTGATTATCGCGTGCAGTCGTAACGGCAACGAAGCTCCGCGTTGGCGGTGACCAGTATCGCGACAACAGGTGTTGTTCGTCTTGCTTATATCCTTTTCTGTCTAAAACCCGTAACAACTGTCGGCCTCGCGCGTCATCGACCGAATCGTGCCGTTCTCGAGTTCCGATTTCTCCGATCTCCTGGGAATTTCCGGATGACAGACCGATGCCGTAACGCTCCGAATTTAGATCGAGCTGTAATTTTGAACGATCGATCGCCAGAGGAAATCGAATTTCGTGTATTGCGGTTTAACGCGAAAAGGAACGAGAAGAGACGCGTAACGAAAGGAAAGGAAAGGAAAGGAAAGGATAAAAGAGGCGTTCGTAGTAGCGGCATTTGTACACGTACGCACGTGGACAGCCGGTTCTGCATACTAGAAAGAAGGCGCACGTGCTCGTGCATGCGTTAGCGAAAGTGGGACAACGCGGACCACCCACGTTCCTTCTTTACTTTCCGCTTCGAACCGACTCGACTCCTCCGAGTTTATCAATTCTTTTTCCCTTCAAATTTTCTCCGGATTTTCTCTTATTTTCACTTTGCGTCCGTGATTTCGAAGCTCGATCGTGTTCAGTTTTTTAAGCGAAACGCCTTCTCTGAACGAGAGACAGCGCGTTCGAGAGGCGAGCGGTGAATGGTGAACGGCCGACAGGATCGAACCTTTCTTTTCTTTCTTTCCTTTCTTTTCGTTATTTTCATCGTTATATCGCTTCGTCACTCCGCTCTAATCGTAAGATTCGAGATTGCTGCCGCTACCCTCGCCATCTTTCCCATCTTCTCTCCGCCCAATTACCCATCATCTTTTCCTTTCTTCTTCGCCGCTTGTCACTTTATTCGCGAGTACGTACCTTTCTGTCCGACTTTTTTCGCCTCCCCTTCGTCTCGGAAGCGATTTCACAACCGATCGCGAAGAATCTCTCGAGCATTATTACCTATAAACACTCGACTGCGTTTGCGTCGACGCGACGCGACGCGACGCAATGTTGGAAAGCAAGCAGAAGAATAAAAAAAAGAAGGGAAAAAGTAGACGAGGGGTACGAGAAGTACTCACCTTGGAAGGGTCGGGTATCCTCTTCAAGCCGAGACCTCGCACGATGCTTCGTCTGATAATATCCAGCTCGGTGTCGTCGAGAACGGTTCTCGTCGTCGGTCGATCCTCTTCTTGGAAAGCATTCTCGAAAGCGTCCTCGTAGACGTCCTCGAGACCGGTCGAGCGGTCGAGGTTGTATCGAAGACCGGTTCGTGCGTACGGATCCGTTCGCGACTGCATCGGCACGCCCGAAGCGGGCACGCAAAGCGCCGCGCCAATCGCCGCTAATCCGAGGAGGATGAGCAGCCCACCGCTCGCGCTCGTTGCCCGAGCGAACTGGTAACGGCAACAACCACCCGCACGATCGATTATCCCACGCCGTTCGATGCTCCTCGTGTTCACCAATGTTCGATACCCTCCAAGATCGAGAGATCCTCTCGAACGTCGTTTGTGCTTTTCGAACGAGAAAGCAAATGCCGTCGCGTCGCCTTCTATCGTCTCGATTAAACGTTCAATTCCACGTTTTTCGAGAAACCACCGACTACTACTTGGCTTCGCGTTCCCGTTATCTTTCTCAACGTTCCTCGAGTAACTCGTCGTCGTCGTACGGATGAAATCTTTACGTTTCGCCGCGGCGACAGCCCGAACGATCCCACCACCGACGACGATCCCGTCCGTAGAAACCGCGACGAAAGCGCGGCAGGAACTGGCGCCGCTTCGTTCGACCGACCACACCGATGCCTCTCGTTCCTCGTTGTCACGGGTCACGCGTCCACCAGTCGTTGCCAGCTTTCCCATAGCCGGCTTCTGATGCGAGTTTGCGCCCGATCCCGATTACGCGGGATTATCTTCGGCCAAGGAAGACACACACCACCTCGTCGCTACCGTGCTCCTTCGCGCCGATTCTATTTCCCTTTGCCTCTCCTCTCGCTCTCCCTCACGCTCCCTCCCCCTTTTCCCCACCTCTTCGCTCCTCTTCCACTCCTCTTCGCGACAAGCAGAATTCCCAATTCCCTTCTCTTCGCTTCTTAACTCGTCGATCGGTAAACGCGTCGATCGGCACGAGATTCGGATGTACAAACTAATCACTTTCCGGCGTATTCGCACTTTTCCTTATCTTCGATGTACCACGATATAGTTCGTTTGCCCTATTGGTATCTCATCGATATTCCCTATCCATTGATCCTTCACTCTCGAACCTTTGTCGTTTTATCGCATTGTTTTACCCAATATCGATCCCGATTGATCGTCCATCGGTTCAATCTCTTCTTCCTACGCAACGACGACGACGACAACAACGACAACGAAGACGATACGAACGGTGGGAAAAAAGATGGGAAGGAAAAGGAGAAAGGCGAGAGAAAAGATGCCGAGGCGGTCATCTTAAAACGCGGACCGTGTTAAGATAACTCTATATTATTTATTATACGGTTATATTCGCTTCTTTTATTTAGCTCGATCGCGGAATCAGCAGGTTGAAAATCGAGATAATGAAAGAAGGCCCTGGGAATAGAGGACGGAACGGGACGAAGAAACACGACCCGCTCCGTTCGAGCGCCGCGCGTCGACTGTCGAATATCGCAGCGACGCGTGTTCGCGTATATAAACCGTTTACTATTCCCCGCCGTAGGCACGATGTCGTGCCGTCGCCGTCGCCGTCGCCGTCGCCGTCACCGCCGATCACTTTGCCATCGTTCCATTTCAACTTGCCGGTGCCTTTTATTCTTATATCGACGGGATGCAACGGAAACAGGAAACCGCAGAGCAAGCTGCCGTTGAATTGGTACGAATGCAAAGCATTAGAAGAAATAGTGGCGCTTGGATCGAATCGTTGCTTATCGCCGGAAGGGCGGACGGGTAAATGGAGCAACGTTGACGAGGAAATCGAGACGGTCGGTCGAGCGATTGGAGTAATCGCGCGTCAGGTCAAAAGTCGCTTCGAAACGACCACCGACGCGATTCCATCCTTTCCCTTTCCTTCCCTTCTATTTTACGACACGATATTAGGACAAGTCGGTTTCTTAGCAAGAAGCAAAATTTTCGCTTCAAATTCCGTTCGAACGGAAACGCGAATTTTTTTAGAAACGATACCTTGCTCGACTTCGAGGAATCGTTAACCCGTTGGGAAAAGTTGACGGTATCCCCGGAGTTTGCCGCGCAGCGTGTCGTTTCGCGGAAGAAAAAATTTTACGTGACCCAATGACGAAATCGTATTTTCGAGCTACGCGGGACGCGTCATTCGGTTAAAGGAACGATGGTGGAGGCGTTGGTGGTAATGGTAGTGGTGGAAGAGGGAAAGGAGGACGAGAGGAGGGTAGTAAAAAGCGTCGAAAGGACATCAGCCGAAAGGAATCCCCCGAAACTCGGAACTCCGAACTCCGCGGGAAAGGTGTTAGTCGATATCGCCCTCTTTACCTCGCCGCGCGTTGTTTCTTCCTGGAAACGGCGATCGGCGTGCGATCTAGGCCGCAAGGTAGAAGAGTGATTCATGGATCACTCAGACCGGGGATAGGCAACGCTTCCTGCATGCCCCTCGTATTCGCGGCTTTACGCTCGATCCCGTCGAAAGCGGCCGTCGTTCCCGCTAATATCCCGTAATATTCCGATGACTAAGTCAATTTCGCGACGACGAATTCCTTCGATCGCGTCACCACCACGTCACCACCTGCCTTGATCGTTTAAAACTCCTATATTCTTCTGATTGATCGATGCTTCTTGCCAAACATCGATTTATTTTCTTGCTGCAACGAAACCCGAAAGCGACGGATCGATATCGATTCGGATCTGCTTCTCGGCCCGACGAGGAATGCAGACCTTCGCGTCGATGAATCGTTAAAAATACGGAAGCCCCGTACCGGTGTTTCCCATTCGCTTCGTCCAACGAACTCGAACGGCTGCGACTAGCCGAGCGAAATAGTCGACGTCTCGCGATTACTCGCGTTTCCTCGTTTTGCTAAGGGACACATTTTTCTTTTAATCAAATCAAAGTTCCGTTTCTTGCGATCTTTAAACGGTCGAGCGAAAGAAATACGAGGTTAACCGTTGGTATGTAGAAAGTCTAATCGTACGTGGGAACGAAGGGACGAGTCGAAGAACGTTGTCGAGCTGCAGCCTGCTCGACCCTGCTCGATGGGTCTTCTCGAAAGTTGACGCGTTTTCGATTACCCGCGAAACCACGCATACCGGTGCTTTTTAGAGCTTCCCTTCCGCGCAGCTACCTACCACGAGATGCGTCCTAACGACAAGGAATTCCTTCTTCTTACAAGGATATACAATATTTTTACCTCGTTTCATGCGCGCTTCTCGCGTACTGAAACATAAACAACGCCCGTGAAATCAAAACTAGTTACCTAAAACAAATAGTTATCCTTTATTCTTAAGCAAAGACTAGTAACAAAGATTTTATAAGCGTTGAAAAATATCGATTTTTCAGTAAAATTCGATCGAACAAATGGAAACCGTATCGACAGACAGAAAGTAAAAGTTTTAAGAATATTTCGGATCGATTTAATCGAACGGGCTCGCGTGTAGCTGTTGGAGCGTGTCACAGGGTGAGTCAAGTTCTCGTCCGAATGTGACATCCTCCTTCTTTCCCGTTACTCACTCGCCCTCCATTGCGTTATTAACGTTTTCATCGAGTCACGCTCTATCGCCCCTTCTATCGTTTCACCCGTTCGTCACTCGTTCGATTCCATTCGATGTCGTTTCGTATCCTTTTCCTTCGACATCGCTCAATGCCGTTTCTCCAAATCTTTGTTTAAATTTGCCGACGATTGATCAATGCCGATGCTCGATGATTGGTTTCGTATCGTTTCGTTTGATTTAGGTGTGAAATTCACATTTCACCACTCCAATACACCGGGGATGTACTTCTCGATCAGTTTCTCGTAATAAGGCCAGAGTTCTTCGATGTCCGGTACCTCGCTGCTCTTCGTATAGAGATCGTATTTGCTGTGAAACGCAACCAGTTGAATTCGTTAATCAAATGAAATTCCATTCCAAAATAAAAAGTCCCATGAGAATGTACTCACTTAAATTCGTGGATCCATTTCAACATCTGCATGTCTTGGTTGGTACAAAAATGCATGTAATCACCGCCTGCGTGCCATGGATAGAACGAATGGTAACGAATCATAGCCAAAGCTTCTTTTGGTAATTTGCATTTGTTGTGTACCAAAACACGGTACAAATACTCGTCGTGTCCCCAGGACATAAGAAGGTTGTCGATGCCACATTTTGGCTTGTACATGCCATATTTCGTGCTGACGAAAAAAAAGTCAAAATGATTAAATCTGTTTCCGTTAAATTAAACATTTTTTCACCGTATTCGTTGGATCGTAGGTACGAACGCTTACTTGTATCGAGGATCCTTGCCGTCCGGATTGTCCTCGAAACTGGTTTCTCTATACACGATCGAATCGGCCCAGGCGCATCCGACAGGAAACGTATCGCCCACCACCGCCCATTGCGGTTCTCCAAAGAACGCCATTACCTGAAAATCCCACGAAAAAACACAGAAAATTCTCTGTTATTAATTCGAAATTCACTAGGAACCACCTGTTTACTGTTAATCCGTTTACGTTACCTTGCCTAAATCGTGGATCAAACCAGTCAAATGGAACCAATCCAAGTCAGGATGCTCCTTTCTGATAGACTCTGCTGTTTGAAAAGCGTGCACGATATTCGGCAGGCTGGTATCCGGGTCGCTTTCGTCCACCAAGTTGTTCAGTTTGATCAAAGCATCCTTCACCGACATTTGAAATTTGTCGAATCGTAGCCATTCCTTCATACGGGCTGAAACGTGAGAATCGTTTGATTACACCTCCTCTACCGACACAAATGAAAAACAACTGTTACTTACATCGTACAAATTCGACCGTTTGATTGGTATGCATCTTGTGATAGGTTCTTCGAACGCGCTCTTTGACTGGATCATTCGGATCCTCGGAATAATCCCTGAATTCGCTCTCCAATTTTCCCGAGTAAATCGGTTCCGGCCGATACTTGTCCGAGGGATCCAGAATAGTCGCTTGTCTCTGCGACTGTGCCTGATCGTCAAAACGAATCTGTCGCTCAATTTCATCGTATAGAAAAGTAACGAGAGAACGGAAGAATAGAAGGGAAAAGAAAAAGAGATCGGTTCGATCGACGAGACGACCGGCGCGAGAAGACGGCTTACCTACTCTTCTCGCGACTCATTTTCCTTTTTCGCTTCTCGCAGATACTTACGATCGTTTTCCCCGACATATCTCCTCTACGTCTATATAATCCGACGGCTATGGAATACGCAACACTGACTGACTAGTCCCATGCGGCCGACTTAACTTATAAATCTGAGGCAATTCACCCTTGACCTCAGCTTGATCAAAGTATGGTCACGTGTGTAATGTTCCATACACGCTATCTCGTTTCACCACATTCGCGTACGTTCCTAAACAGACGAACGAAAGCGATAAAAAAAATATCGTGGAATTTAACGATCTACGAGGAGCGGAGACTTTAGAAGCATCGGTCAATCTTTCCTTGTTTCCGCCCTACCATCGCGCTTTCGGTTCTTTTCCCGCGAAACCAACCGCGCCCCTTCTTCTTCTTCTTTTCATCAAGTTCGATTCTCCTCGTTATTTTCCGTTGCTGACTCGCCAAATGCAATTTTGGTTTTTAATCTTTTCTCCTCTCTCTTCCACTAAACAATTTTCTTCTTCATTCTCGGATGATCATTTCTTGTTCGCAATCTTTGAAAGCGACGTTATTATTAAAAAAAAGAAAAAAGAATGGAGAAATTCCCGGTATACGTAAGTTGCATATATCGTTATGTAACAAACGACTTTTAATTGGACGTAATCGTATGAAAAGTGAACGCGTAAAGAATATCGCACGCGATACAGCTGTGAATGACATTCATTATGCGATGAAAAAATAATTTAGATTCTTCCGGGAAGGAGACGGGACGACGGAATTACGGTTCCCGCTATTTTTCTAGCAGCCTCGTGAAAGGCCACCCTATTCCACGAGCCATAAGTCTTAAACGGTAAGCAATTATACGTTCTCCAATCTCGACGCAGAGAGAAGGGGGTGAGGACGAATTAACTTATAACGCGAAACAGATAATGATTCTTTTAGCTGTCAGAGTTCCCTTCATTTCTCCTCCGAATCTATTGGCAAGCATCGCGGACGACGGATATCGTCGGCGATTTCTTCTCTTTGTATCGTTCAAAAGATTCCTGCCGTGTTTCATTGAAAATTTTCAAAAATTCCTATCGGTTCTGTCCGATTGCTTAGGACAACTTGTACGATCGGTTTCTTTTCTTCCTATGAAATCGTACACGTTTCTACGCGACCATTTGACGGAATTAAAACAGGTGTTTGCTTGCGCGTGCACGCGTCTCGAAGCGCACGCGCCTTTTGCGTAGTTGAAACGACTCGTTCTCGATTTATTAAACTCAATTACGCGGCAATTGATTTGGCGCAAAAGGGAATAAACCCTCGGGGCAGTTTATATTTGATCGGTGTTAACTGCATAACGCATCGATGTTATTTTCATACTCTCAAATTACCAAGCTTATTCGCGTAAACGAGAGGATTTCAGGATCCGCGCGAAAAAGGACACCGAGGAGAAGAGAAGAGAACGAAGGAGAAAAAGTAGAAGAACGAAAATAAAAATCTCGACAGATTACGCTCAACGTCGACGTCGATATCCGCGAACGATGTTTTCGCATCGCGTTGAGCCGCGTCAAATACTGTCGTGGAAAAAATTCAAATCGATAACCTCTGCTAATTACGCAATCGACGCACCGTCTCCCAACCGGACAAACGAATCGACTCTTGTGAAAATCGTTCGGGGATAAGCGATCGATCGAAGCAAAGAAAAAGAAGAGGAAACACTTTCCGAATTCCTTCTTCTCCTGTTTACAATTTTAATTACAATTACAATTACGCGCGATGGATCAAAATACTTTTTGCTCTATCGCTGCACTTTTCCTCTTTTTCGTCGCGATCCCTAACAAGAAAAAAAACGTTCCTCCTTATCTTTGCTACGATTACAATTGAATTAAGGAAAAGCATTAGAAAAATGACAAATTATCGTTACGTATCACCTTTCAGTTAAAAATTTCTCTTTATTCTTCGATCCTGTTACCCCATTTATTATGTATTTTCATTTCTTGGACAACATTTGTATTAAAATTATCATTGACGCGTTGAATGTAATAACCGTACATACGCGTAAGCATATATGTACGCACGACGCTTATATCCTTGTATGTACATACACTTTTATACGTATCAAAATGTTCGAAATACGAATAATGGATAACGAGCAATATTTCAAGGTGAACTCGAATCTGAATAGGACGAATTGCTTCCTTTTCGTCGCGCGTTGTGCTGATGCCTCCGAGATGGTGTTCGCGATGGAGATCTATGCTTGGACGAAGACTTTTTGCTCTTCTTGGACCTGTGCGATCGAGAACTACTCGGACTATCGTGGCTGCTACAACAAATCGAACAAACAGGTGGCGAAAATGAAAATGAGAAAAGAAATAAGTCAGTGTTTCATGACACGTTTCATTACCTTATTAACGAACGAGCAAAAGAGAAGATTTATCTTTCGGCATACCTTCGGTGAGAGCTTTTCTTTTTCTTGTGCTTCTTGTGAAATCTTTGCCTGTCCGTGCAACTCCGACTCCTACTGCAGCTTCTCGATCGCGGTCTAGATCTTTTACCGGTCAGATCCGCGCTTTTCAATCTGTCCATTAAAGAATTTCCACCGCTCCTGGAGTCGCAGGATTTCGCGTCGTCCAACGAGGGCGAAGGCGACGGAGACGGAACAGAATGCACCTCATCCGAATCGTCTTTTCGCGCCCCCTGACCAACACTCCCACCGCTATTACCGCTGTGACTGCTGTGACCGCTACTTTTCGACAACACGTTTGTCTGGATTTGACTCAAAAACGCTGCGGCCTTCTTCTTTCTTTCCAGCTGAAGCTGCCTTTCTCTGGAAGTAGCTGCGAGTTTATCTCGCGCCGCAGCCACTAGTTTGTCTTTTATTCTCTCTTCGTTCTGTTTATTGTGTCTAATCTCTTTCTGACAATCTTCCAGAATTTCATCGGTCAAATCTACCAATTCCTTTTCTTCGTTCTTCGGTTTCTTCTCCAACTTCCATCCGTCTTTGTCCATTGTGCCGACAGCAGTTAAGAAATTCTGTTCTGTAGAATCCTGTGGCGAGCTCGGCTTCGAGTTGCCCTCTTTGTTCTCGCTTCCCATTTCCTCGTCGCTCTCCTCCAACGGAAGAGCGTTTCGCTTCTCGATTACTCCCGTTTCACCTTCCTTTGGTTTTTTTATGGAAAATGACACGGTCGTTACTTGTTTCAGCCCTCCTCCCGTCGACGATGTCGTTATCGTTGTCGTTGCCGCCGTCGCCGTCGTCGTCTGTTTCATTCTTGTGTCGCATTTCTTTTTCGCTTGTATCATTTTCACCCGTTTTTGTACTTCTTCCATTCTTTGCTGCTTCTTTTGTAATTCTTCCAATTTCTTCTGTTTCTCCTCCTGTGGTTCTTGTTTCTGTAGTAACTCCTCCTCCGTCAACACTTTTGGATTTACCGCGCCTTCGTATATCGTTAACTTGTGCGCGTAGTAACCGTGATACTGATGCGACAGTTCCAGAAAATTAAACCTCGGGTCACCCTTATTTTTCACGATCGCTTCGAAATCTCGACCATTTTTCGCCACGTAGCTAGCCATTTTGTCGATAATTATTTGCACGTCCGCTGGCGGTACGATGAAAGAAGGTCTACTCAGTTGTTTCTGGGACGTAGTTCCGTAAGGTACCAACGGCAGTTGACACTCGCTGATCGCAACGTGAGCCGCGAGCGAATCGTTCGGGGAGGACACCGTGTTTATAGGTGCCAATTGCAACGGCGATTGTATCTGGCCGTTCGGTCCGTATATCACCGGGCCGTGGGAGTATTGTACAGGTGCCGCCGCAGGATATGGACTGTACCCCTGAAAACAAGAAGGAACAATGTTCGCGCGCTGGTTACTCGCCGCTTTTCTTCTCTATTACTCGCCTTGCCTCGCTCTCGCTCTTCCTTCTCTGGTCACAAACTTACCTGTCCCGCTACCGGATGGTAATACCCCGCTGCGGTAGCCGTCGCTTGACCGGTACTTTCCAACTGTTGCGGAGGAGCTTTCGAAGGCGGCGGTTTCCCGGTGATTTTATTCACAAGCATCGAGTATGCGCAGTCCGCGGATGGTTTGTACTGTATGCTTGGAATACTAGGGGCCTAGGTGAAACGAAGAAATAAAAAAACACAGTTGTTTTCGATCGGTTTTTTTACGTTTACGTTCAGCCACCTACCCAGACTACGTACCGCCTCTATCTTGGTGAACGACGGCGCCAGACTCGGATGAAGATACGGTTCGTCGTCTTGGTCCGACGATCCATCTTCGGGTTCTATCATTGAAAAGAATATGTAAATGAGTAGAACGTCAACTTGTACGGCTACTAGTGGTTCCTATGTATCGCAGAGGATCTGTACATGAACAAAAACACGTAGAAGTACTTACGGACAGAGAAAAACTAAGCGGAATCAAAGTAGAGATCAGTGGGTAATCAAATCCTGCTTTAAATCTCCTCGATTATTACAATTACACGACAATTTCACGTTGCAGCAATATATCGCTATAAGATTAATATAAATAAAACAGTATGCTTACCAGATTCTTCCTCCTTCTCCGGCTGCTTTTCAGGATTGTATTTTCCGCTCTTGATTGCATCCAATATGTATCTGTAATATTGATGCAGCGGCCCGTCTATCGATAAGAAGGAAAATTGTGGATTGTTCGCCTGCTTCGCTTTAATCAAGATCTCCATTTGCCCTCCTTGACGACTTATAAACAACGCCGTTTTCGTTATGATGGCGTTCAGTTTTTGAGTTTCCGGCTGTTCAAGAACAATAACAATAACAAGCGCAATTTTAAATACAAGTCAAGTATTAAAGCGTCGTGTTTTTCGTTTTTTTCGCGGTGTATAGAATAACGTTTACGGCTCGCTCGCCTAATCCCACGAACAATTATTACTTTCTCTACCAACCAATGGAATACCATCTGGTATTTCCAAATCAGGAGGTGGTACGAAAGCCTGATCCTCCTCCTGGGATCCTTCGGATCTTTTCGGACTTTGCGAATCGTCGCACGTGCTTTTCGAACCGGTCGCGGTCTTGCCTTCCTCGTTGTAGTCGTACCCCACCTGACCGTACGTATTCTCCGAATCCAACGCTTGATGAAGTCGTTTTATTTCTTCCTCTGAAATCATTTTTTATACTCAGTAAATAAATACGTAATAAATAAGAAATGAATAGGTAAGAAATCAGCGTACCGTGATAGATCGAGTCCTCCATCTCGTTGTTGTAGAGGGACCGATACCTTTCTTCGTCGCACAACTGTTCCACTTTCAGCTCCTCCTCCGTCAGAATCGTTCTTTGATCGAACCCACCTGTCGGTGGTTCGTATATCCGTAAATCCCCCAGTGCTCCGCGTCCATCGTATCTATACACATACAATGCGCGTGTTAGACAAGGAAAACGATGATACGAGTATTTTTTTTCTTTCTTTCTTTCTTTTTCTCTCTTTTTTTTTTCCAACAATTTCCTCAATCTCCGCATCTGAAAACTGTGTTACCAAGTAAAACCTGTGTCAAAGCCTGATTCCTCTGAAATAGAATAGAATTATACAGAAACTCGATGGCTCACTTCTATCATTTCTTATCATAAACGATTGTAAGTCATACAGAAGCATATAATCGCATAAAAGGTATCAGTAAGACCGATGCTACTCTAATTCGAAACGTCTTCAAGCATACTCGCGAAACGTTACTCTGCTTTACGATGAGACTGCTCGAACACCGGATCGGGTGCTTATAAAACAAGAACACACGGAAAATTACAGTGTATGTAAAAAACCTTTCGTCATCTACATGAACAAGCTGTTCGCATACTAAATCGTGCTTACAAAATTGTTCGTTTTTGTTCACGCGATCGCCGTGGTACATTCAACACAGTACAACAGTATAACAGCAACCGCGGGTCCGAATCTACGCCGCGATGCTCGATTCTAGGATCGCTAATACATACCATGCTGACCGATTGTAGTACCACTACAATCGTCAGCTGCCGTTTGTCTCTCTACGCTGTGTCTCACCTTGCTGCTGCGCCGACGGATCAGCCACAAACACCAACTTCACGAGAGAGCACGTTGCTCTACGAGCGTGTAGAACGCGTATACCGCGCTTCCACACCGCCTGTTCGCAGCCAACACACCTGCAGAAACCTTAAACAGCCTCCAGATTGCTTAGCCGCACGTTAACCAATTCGTAGTAGTGTTATTTCAACTGCTGCATTTTCTTTACTTTAATCTGATATCATTCTTCTAAAGGTTACATGTACGGTGCATTTATGCAAGAATAAATATCCTAGATGATAAATTTGTCTAGGTTAGGGAAACGGACCTGTCTATTTTCAACGTGTTATCGCCCATCCATGGTATCAAATGCTTTCCTTGATCAATCATTTTCGCCTTGTCATCATCTCGAAATAATTTGCAGCTATATCCAAACACCAACAGCTCCTGCGGTTCCTCTTCTCCATTCTTTTTACGCAGAATTCCTGAATCTACCATCCAACGCTGACTTTTCGATGCCGCCATTTTCCAACTACTAAAATTAACGTTTCACCTTTGCACAAGTTGCTCCTGGTTGCGCCTTGTGTCTACAGTCTAGTTCACTATTGCATATATTGTATGAAACATCGGATCAATCTGAAGTTAACCCTTCATGCGTACCAGCATCGCCACCCTCGACCACGCACGGCGTCTAGTGATGGCTAGAACTGCTACTTGTGAATCACGAGTGATTCGATCACGTTCGTTCCTAATCACGATCATTTTTCAAAGTGATTCGTGATTTTTCATGCTCTCTTCTGATTGTTGGAAAGTAGTAGTCAAAGCTTATGACTAACTGAACATTCTTTGCACATTACATAACATATATATATATATATATATACTTATACATTTAGTAATATTGAATAAGTTTTCCTTTATTTCGTGCTATGTAATTTGCGTCTAACGTCATATATTGAAGCATTTTACAAAACAATAGTTGAATCAAGACCAAGAATTACGATGAGCAATCATATAAGATAAAATCACGTTCGTGATCGTGATTCTACGATCACTGCTAGTGACTTTTCACGCCATCTCTAGTCACTGGTATAAACAAGAACTTGTCGACCAAGACGCTAGTGATATTTGACTCGTCAGCCAATAGGAAATCTGGAATCCTTGGAGGGCTAACTTCCGCATGTAGACTTCCTGTAATGCAGTTTGACTTTTCAAAGATTGTTTACAAGCAAATTGCATAGTGTCTAATCGTTAAAAAAGGTTTCATAATCACAGGGTCGTTCTTTGTGGACATATTGAGATAACCAAAAAATGAGCTTACTAAGACACTGTAATCTCTCACTAAACCTGAGACCATAATTCAAAGAGATTCTCTCTGACCCACTTGTTGCGTTTAGGTTATGCTGTTATAAACAAAAATATGTTTTCTATAAATGTGTGCTTTTCATGATCAATTGGTGCGCGCCAGACGGTAGGGATGGAGGGCCCAGGTCTGAGCTTGTTTCAGGGTTCAGAAAGCATTCGGCTGAACTCAAGCGCGCAAGGCTTGGAGGAAGATGAGGAACAAGAGGACCTTAAGAGACGCAATAAAGAGGTGTGTTCCTGTTTCCTTCTACTAAATTTCATAACATACTTAAATTTTCATATTCCAGATTACGGATCTCTTGACCAATGCGTTTGATGATTTGGAGGACGACAATGAGACCAGTTCTGTGAACAGTAGTCATTATCAAGACAGTGCCAAGGAAGTAGAGATAAATTCTACTCAGGGTCAAACTGTATCTCAGTTACAGAAAGAATTTGGTGTTTATGAACATGAAAATTCCAATAACTATGACAGCACAATGATGAATCACAGGCCAGAGATGGAAATTGCTCCTTCAATGTGTGATATGTATGATTCTAAGAGTAATGCAGAAACACCTTATGAATTGGCAAGACCCCCAAATTTAAGGGTTCAAGTTAATGAGGATTATACATTTAATGAAAATTATACATACAATTACCAAACACCTGCCAATCACTATGATGCTCAGAATAAACCTTATTCAAATAATGGTTACATCGATGGTTATGAGAACAATCTACAAAGCAAACAGATTCATGAGTTTGGTAGTGGTGACAATGTTACATCTGATCACTTGAATCATTGTTACAAAGCAAGTCCAAATGGTAGGCCAAGGGATGATAACATAGCTTATAAGAATGCTGAGTATGACAGCAGGGAGCAATTAGAGGTTTTATACTCAGTTCGAATGAGGGAAATCAAACAATTAACAGAGGAATTACAGCAGCTACAGATGAAGAAGGAGGAAGAGAAAAATCAGCTTGGTCGAAAAATTATGCTTCTGCAAGCGGAAATTGAGAGATCGAATTTATCTAGGAATCAGACACAGCACGCTTTAGGTAAGATTGAATAATATAATCGGCGAATAATTGTAAAAACAAAATTATACAAATTATTTTTTTTGTTTTTTTTAGTTGATGCAAAAGCAGAAATTGCTGACCTCCACAATCAGATAACATCGTTGAAAGAAAAGAATGCGGTTTTAGAAAGAACTAATCAAAATGTAAGACTTTTACGCTTTATTCTCTGACGATTATTTAATGTATGTTAATATATTAATGAATTTTAGATGAATGAGGAGCTTAATGTTGCAAGAGATTCAGTAATAGAGTTGCAGCAAAAAATAGCTGTGTTAGAAAGAGTACAAGCATTGCAGTCAAGTGACAAAGTTCATGAAAAGTTTTTGAAGCAGGCACAGGAAAAGCATGCGGTTGAAATGAAGAATATGCAGACGCAGATTGATGTTCTTACAGACAAGCTTAATGCAAAGGTATATTTGATGATCGTTTTAAAATTCTTGATTGAGAAGAAGATTTTGTATTTATGATTTTAAACGTATATGTCATAGCTGCTCAATGTGGATTCCAACACTCATTGTATTTGGGCAAGTTTTTGACACAATATTTTTCAAAAACTATTTATAGGGTCTTTTAAATATACGTATTAGGTGTAGAAATTAAATCGATATTCTCGCACCACATTTCAAAACCACTGAAGCGCGAGAAAATTTAAAATGCACCTGCCTCATTTACACGACATATTAAGAATTTAAATTGAAATAAACATTTTGTAATTAACAGGAGACATCATACGTTGCTCTGGAAAATAAATTAGCGGATGTAAGGCGAGCACACGAGGCTCTTATGGTAGAAAAGGGGGACACTATGAATCGCTTAGCACAAGCGTTAGAAGAAAGTCAAGCACAATGCCGCAATCTTATGGCTACGAATAATGCTCAACAAGTGATGCAGCTGCAAGCGCAGATCAAAGTATTAATACAGGAAAAAGAAGAAACACAAAAAATCATTCAGGAATTACAGGTACCTAATATATAATGTTAATTCATCAAACAATTTTTTTATTTTGAATTACTTTTCAGAATAAATTAGAGATAACAAAAAGTGAAATAGTACAATATGATTCGTTGTTAGCAACGACTCTGGAAGAAGAATCAGATTCAATTAGACAACTAAAATTAGGTGAACTTCATAATAAATCAAAATCAAAATCATGTGATGACATTGCAAATAAATTAAGAGGAGAATTACAGAGGTAATTTGTGTTAATTTAAAAAAAAAAGAAGTGTACAGTATCGAGCAAAGTAGGCTTCCCTATGGAAAATGGCGCTATAGCGCTACATTGCTATTTCTCTCTAGAAAAGTCTACCATGCTCGATACTGTATATTGTATTAAATTGTTGTTAATTTTTAGATGCCTAGCTGGACAGGCTGTTAAAAGGAAAGAGATAACTCGGTTAGAGAACACTTTATCACAGAAAGAGAAGGAACTTGATAAAGCTTTAATGGTAGCGGACACGTGTCGGCAAGAAGTGGCTCGCTACGCGAAACGCGTGAACGAATTAGAACAGGAATTAAAATCTGTGCTTACAGATCAAGCTTTGAAAGCGAATGCTCAAATACAAAAGTTATCTAACCATCTGAGTGATGTAAAGAAACAATACGAGTCGGTGAGCGAGGAGAAGAATGAATTGAAGAAAAAGTTGGAAGAAACTTTAGCGATTAATCAAGAAACAATGAGAAAATTGCATCAAGAGAGTATGGATAAGCAAGAAAAAGATGCCATTGACGAGTATAATAAAGAATATTTAGAGATACATGCTAAGGCTGTAGAAAGAGTTAGGCAAGAGGCACAAATTGAAGTAGTGCAATTATCGTAAGTATATATTGATAAAATATGGTTAAAAACGTAATAAATTATTCAATAAATTGTCACTTTAAATATAAATATAACATTTCAATTTGCAGAGTGCAATTAGAACAAACGCAAAAGGAATTGGATCGCGTTAAGGAATTGTATATAGACGTCTGTAGTACAAAGGAACAGTTTATAAATGATCACAAGTCTGAAATGAAAATGCTGAAGGAAAAGTATGCTAATTTAGAGGAGCGTGAAAAAGATATTGAAAAGTATGAACGTGACTTGCAGGCACAAGTAAAAATAGTAGAGAAATTAACGGAGGAATGCGACACATACAGGAGTAAAGTTATTGAATTAGAAAAAGATTTGAATTTTGAAAGGAAGAAAAAGGAAGAGTATACAAGGAAAATTCATCAAGAAATTGAAAGAGGTAATGATGGTATCTTTCCCGCTTTCTTTAACGCGGGAAAACATTATTTTAGATTTAGAATGAAACTTTACTGAGATATTAATTTTTACAGCTAAAGAGGAAGCATTGAATGAACTACGCAATGCTCATCCGAATCAAGAAATAAGCGTTCTCTTGCCAGATCATTGTTCGGAACACTTAGAGAAAATTAATCAGGTACGTGTACTGGATCCGCACAATTTCTGTGCAAATTATAATATACAATATATTTATAGTTAGAAGAGGATTGCAAGCGTTTGGAAGAAAAACTGCATGCAGCAGTTGATGAGCACAAAAGGTTATCCGAATACCAATCTGAATTGGATGACGCAAGATTAAAAATAGCACAGGTAGAAATTTCCCAGGAGTCTTGGAAGAAGAAATACGAGAATGCGATCAACGAAAGGAATGATTTAATTGCGAAAATTTCGAAACTTGATTCTGAATTATCAAATATCAAAAGGAACTCAAAAATCGAAGACTCTGATGACGTCAAATTAAAAGTGGCTCGCTATCAAGTAGAGAATGAAAGTCTGAAAAACAAATGTGAAAATTTGATCAGCGAAAGGAACGTATACAAGGATAAGATTTCTCAGTTAGAAGCAGAATTGACGGAAACGAAGAAGATAATTGGGAGTTTTGAAAATAGGTTCAAAAAGAGCAGCGAAATATCATTGAGTTCAAAATGTGAATTAGAAAAAGAACTGTCACACTATAAAGATCTAGTGACACAACTGAGTAGTAAAATAAATCATTTGAAAGCCGGAAGAAAGAGCGATTTAGTGATGGAG